CGGACGACGACGACGGGAAAGACTAAGAGATGAGAGACCCTTACCTTCAGAGAAAGATTCAGAGATGAGAGACGACACTCAACGACCGGAAAGACGACTGATTGATATTGAAGAAGTTCGCGATTTAGGTTTTTAGAAGATATGGATCCGGGTCAGTTTTTGGATACTGGTTGGATCTGTAATTATAGTGAAATTTTAAAGATCAAAGAGTCTTTTACCAGGTATTTTATTTTTAAAAAATACATAAAAAATCAAATATTATAAAGAGGATATACGAGAATAATTTTCTATGTAAAGAGGTTTCTCAGCTATTGATCCGATTTTGCTATATAGAGAGCGTTTGGTTAGATTGCCAGATTGTTTGTTTGGTTATTCATGCCAAATTCTCATTATTTTATAGGTCAGTTCGGGTTTAGATTCAAAGATTTTGTTTCGGTTGGAGAAATTTTGGCTCGGTTTGGTAGTGTTGCCCACCTCTAGAAAATGGCATTTAATATCCTACTTTCAGTTGGAAAAGTGAAAACCGGAATAAACCGGGTTTACTTGTTCACCCAACTCGGTAAATATCATTTCATCGAAAAGCGGTGGTGAGGGAGGAGAGATGAGGCATAGGAGTGATGGAGATTCCGGTGAACCAAGTTCGAGCGGCGGAATCAAGCAATTCCCGGTGGCTGCTCAGCCGGAGATTATGAGAGCAGCCGAGAAAGACGATCAGTACGCCTCTTTCATCCACGAAGCCTGCCGCGATGCCTTTCGACACCTTTTCGGTACACTTTGATTTCCAAATCTCAATCTCATTGATTTCCATCCAAATTTTGATCACTCTCGGCTTCTTCTCTTCTTAGGTACAAGAGTCGCTCTAGCTTACCAGAAGGAGGTATGACCTGCAGCACTTTAAGCTTACAGGAAGGTCAGTTTCCTTGGATTACAGCTTCTGACGTTTTCTCTTTTTTGAGCAGATGAAGCTTCTTGGACAGATGCTTTACTTTGTTCTCACGACAGGTTCTGGCCAGCAAACTTTAGGAGAGGAGTACTGTGACATTATACAGGTTTTATGCTTTACATTATCCCCTCTCTTTTGAGTATGCACAGGGTTCTCAGTAGGGTCTTTTCTGATGTAGAACGTTCTAATTCAGGTTGCAGGACCTTATGGACTCTCTCCTACACCAGCTAGACGTGCTTTGTTCATTTTGTACCAAACTGCAGTTCCATATATCGCAGAGAGATTAAGGTTTCATCGCCTTTCCTATTTGTTGTTTACAAATGAAAGATTTGAATCTTGCGGTGAAGTGTCTCTAACATACTTGTTTGCAGCTCTAGAGCTGCCACGCAAGCTGTCACCTTTGCTGAGTCTCAGTCTGATGGGTTTTTTGGTGATAGTCCTCTGGAGACTGGTAGTCATATGGATCTTCCATCCTCATCTCAGATGGAAACTTCAGCTTCTGCTGTATCTAGGTTCAACGATAGACTTAAGAGATTGTGGCACCGAGCTGTTCAGAGATGGCCTGTGGTAGTGTATACTGTATACACTTCAAGTTTAAATCTCATGGTTATCTGCATAACGAAAATCTTATTCAACGGTGACTTTTTCAGGTTCTCCCTGTTGCCCGTGAAGTCTTACAACTGGTTCTCCGTGCCAATTTGATGCTCTTTTACTTTGAAGGTGAAAATTGTTAGATATATATAATACATGTAGTGCAAAATGTTTTTGTAGTGTTATGCGCTAGCAATCTTCATTTCTTTCAGGTCTGTATTATCATATATCGAAACGTGCATCCGGGGTTCGTTATGTTTTCATAGGAAAGCAAATGAATCAGAGACCTAGGTAATATGATTTTTCTGTCTTCTTCCATCTGCAACTGTCGACTTTTATGATCACAGAGTAACTGAACTCCCTTAAGTCTTGCTGAGCAGATACCAAATTCTTGGGGTTTTCCTTCTAATCCAATTGTGCATCCTTGCTTCTGAGGCTTTGCGGAGGAGTAATTTGTCATCTATCACAAGCTCAGCTCAGCAAGCGTCTATAGGATCTTATCAAACTTCAGGAGGTCTGGCTCTCATATCCTCGGTTATGAATTAATGCTCTAGAAATTATTAAAGTTCTCAGGGTATCTCTCAACATAGAAGATATTCGTGGAGGATTAGACATTTTATTGTCAGTATTTAAATGTCAATAAATTATGGTCTAAATTGGCACCACAATATAAGTTCTCTTCGAAGGAATGTGAGAAAGATGGTACATATACTTAAGCTGAAATATTTAGCTTGTTATAGTTTTCGACTTTGGTATTGTTCTTGCAGGGAGAGGGTTACCTGTTTTAAACGAAGAGGGAAATTTGATAACTTCTGAAGCCGAAAAGGGAAACTGGTCCACGTCCAACTCAACTTCAACTTTGGAGGTACAATTTTGATAAATAACTTAGAGGTCTCTGTTACTTTGAAATGGCTATAATATCTTGAATACTGATCATTGTTGGAAAAAGTAAATAGCTGGAAGAGAGGCACAAAACTCTTAGCCAAATACATGCCCTTGCTTTGGGGTTATTCTGTTTAGATGTAATGAAGAAGACCAAAAATATTGGTTTTTAGTCTCATGATTCCTGATAGAATAGATGGCCACTTGACTGGTCACGCATTACATATGGTTTCTAGTGAGACGAGGTTATATAGTAATCCTATTTTGGGACTATTCTGTTGGTTGTCTAAATTTAAAAATCCAGGGTTGTTTAGTGTTTCCCTCATTTTGATGAAATCAACCTGCTTCCACTTGTGTGTTTGATGTTTGACTTATTATGTACTGTGGTTGCAGGCAGTAGGGAAATGCACTCTCTGTTTAAGCAATCGTCAGCACCCGACAGCCACTCCATGTGGTCATGTATTTTGTTGGTAATAATTTTTCCTCGTCCGTAACTGCTTCTCTGTCTTAGGGCTGATATCGAAATGGTTAACAATGCGTTACCTCCAAAGTAGATAGTTTGTTTACAGGTTTTAAAATTCGTACATTTTCAATCTATTTTGATGTCCATTAGTTCAAACTGCTTTGATATGATGTGAACCTAGTATCAACATCGAAAATCACTTGACTACAAAACCAAAGATCCAAAATGTTGAAAGAGTCATCTGTCATGTGCAGGAGCTGCATTATGGAATGGTGCAATGAGAAGCAAGAATGCCCACTTTGTCGTACACCCAATACCCATTCAAGTTTGGTTTGTTTGTACCACTCTGATTTTTAAGCTCCAATGGGTCAACAAGGACAGCACACCGAAGAAAGGCGAAGCAGCGAAGACCAAGCAAAGGAAAGAAACGAGCCCAATTTCACCTTAGCCCACACAAGCTTCTTGGGCTACAACTTAGGACAACACCTGGTGCAAGAATAGAATCTCTTTTGGCTTCGGACATTTTCAAGTAAGATCATCAAGTAATGAGAAGGCTCAGAATAAAATGTTATTTCAGACTTACTCGATCCCGTGCCTAGCTTTTTATAGTTGATATTCAGTGCAGATATCACACAGGTAGTTGTAGATGTTAGGTGGCTTTTAACATTCTACTTTAGACACTATAGAAACTCAATATAAGAGTTAAACATGATACAAACNTAATATTAGATTTAAACAAGTCCTTTTTTTAAGATGTAAAGATATCTTTCAACGACAACATATCAAAATCTTGAATAACTTAACAACTAAAGATGAAGATTGGTAAGTAGTCTTGGAAATATGGTGAAATAGTGTGTTGGTTGGTGTTTGGCTCGAAAACATGTTCAAATATGGCAAACTTAAACTTGAAGATAGTTGCATTTGGCCATTTGGGTTTTCCATCACTCAATGAATAACAGTGTCCATTTATTCATTAACTAAATTATCAGCGCGGTCATGCAGATGTGATGAATCTTTACCTCTTCTCTCTGTTTTGTAACAACCATATTTTGTTGGGTCTTGTATCGAATGCCTCGTCTAGCATCTGTTGCATTCTCCATTGGTCAAGATCAGCTAATCTCTTTCTTCAATTATGCTTTTTGCTCTACAGTTGATTCTGTTTTATTGGTAAAACCTATCGTGTGTCGCTGCTCCAGTAAGTGCCTGTGTTACTTAGTCTGCTTGTCTCTGAGACAATTACTTAAAAGCAGGCTCCGTGATTGGGTTTTAAAATATGCAAGTGTTATATTTCCTTCATTAATTGAGGTTAACAATACACAATCATATACGGAATCAGAAGAATTGGAATACCAATGTTGTTTGTAAGATGGAAGAAGATTTTTTCGATAGTAAAAGTCCATGTTGAGACCTGACTCACAGTATGGACTGGAGTTGCTGTATCTCAGAGGAGTCTGAAAGATCATCTTGTTCGGATGGTGATCTGTAGACTTCCACCATAGCTTTCCCTCTATCGAGCACTTGAGAAGGAACTGTTTGTAGAAGGCTGCAGCAAGTCCTTGTCAGTTAGTAAATGTTCTCTCCAATGTGTGTGTGTGTTTGCTGCATAATATATTGATTACCTGTCTAGAGCGGTTAACGCAGTTCCAAGCTGTGACTTCATCAATTCAACAGTTGCATTTGAATCCTTCCTCGACGCACGTAGAAACAGCGAATCCAGTTCTTCCAACGCTCTTTGTACCAACCGCAACATCAATACACAAAAAGAGTCATCATCCCCTATGCAAACTTAACAGTCCCGGGGAAATATTGGTACCTTAGACATCGATCAACATCATCAGACGCAGTATTGGAATCACCAGCATCTGAAGCATACTGAGCAACCTGAGAGAGCCTGAGATTATACATATTGTTACTATTAGAACAAGGAATGTTAAAAGTTTTGTGACTTACGGCTCGAATGTTTACACGAAGAGAGCTAGCAGGACCAGAACGCAGTAGGGATCTACAGGCCAAGAATTCAGGTTTCTCCACATTCAAAAATTGCTCTGCAACATTATAATTAGTGTGGTAGTTAGAGATAGTCAAGAGTTGGGGACAAAATATAGAATATTACCAAGGTCCTGGATCTGTAGCTGAGCTAGAATAACAGGTGGTACATATGCTTCGAGTGGATCAAGTTTTTTCCTATTCAAAGACTGGTTTAGGTTTTGAGGTCAGATTTTCAGAATCCAAGTTGAAATTTTGAGGTGAATTCCAGTTTACCTCTTGACGTACTTATCAATGGGACTAGCCGCCATGGCATCTGAACAAACATAAGAAGAAAAGTCGAATCAAATCGAAAATTGAATTGGTGAGATTGAAATCAGTCTTGTACCGTTAG